CCCTTCCTTTTCCTGTCTCCCGTTTCCACCCAGTGTCTGTGCCACACACTATTTTCTCTGGCAGCTTTGCATGGTCTGAGTGTGTGACAGCCTGGGGGCGCAGCATGGTGACCTGGAGAACAGTCGGGTCCTGTGACATTGCTGCTGCTCCCCAGACTTCCGCTCCTTGTTAATGTCCCTTTCTCACTGGTCCTGAAGGCCTGTAGGCCACCTCCTGCCCCAGAATGGGTAAGGATGAATATTCAAGCGATGGCGGTGGTGACCCACTTATTAGCAGATGCTAGACAGCCTCAGGGCACAATGGCTGATGTTCAAAGCACAGAGCAACTTTGGCAGCGGAAGGGAATGTCCTTGGGAAGATGCTCCCTTCCAACCTTACTTGAGGTGTTAGGAAAAGTCTACTTTGCTCCCTGGGAATGAGCGGCAACAAGAGAGAACACCTCAAAATCAACAGGAGGGTCAGACCAGTGCAGCCCGGTCCCTGGTGGAGGTCATGCTGTGGGACTGGCAAGCTGGTGTCCCCAAGCTATGCAGCACAGCTAGGGCTGCCCTGCAAACAGAGTGCTCTGTCCTGAGTCTGCGAGAGGACCTGAGGATAGCCCACGGAGCCAGGATGTCTGCCTCCATCCGGGGAGCCTGGGGAAGCCACCCTCTGGGTTGACAGCATGAACTTGACGGCGTGATTCGGAGGCCTAAACCAGGCACACAGAAGCCACTGCTGATACGCCATGCCAATGTCAGGTGTGGCGGAGCACTCCACGATCCCAGCACTGGGGAGGCGGAGGCAGGAGGATGATTTGGTAACACGATGAGTTCACAGACAGCTGAGACTACAAGAGCCCCTAGCTATAAAACAAAACAGTGCCCTGAAGGCCAACGGCAAACAAGCCTCACCACGTTGAGGTGAACTGAACTGCGACAGAGAAGCTCTCAGGGCTTGGCTATGGGGTCTCACCCCTCATGAAGACACAATGCCCTTGCCTGTCTGTGCCTTCAATATTCTAGGAAGAAACATTTGGGTTGGAAAGAGGAACTAACTGCTGTTTTAAATGTCACAGGCAAAGGGCTGCGCTACAGCATGGGGCAATCAAAAGGGGAGGGGGTTGAGAAGGCTCAGGAGAAACCCCCTAATGTAACCTGGCAGGGTGACCTGCTTCTCTAGGAAGAGGCTGACAAGCAGCGCGGCTCTGAGCCCCACCTCTTCTTCAAGGATGACTCTGGATGGAGTCCGGGGAAGATGACCTCCACCCAGAGAGAGGCAGGGGCTCTGCCAGTTGTGAATCGGCTCCATCTCTCCTCCCAGTCAGCCGTGCCCCAGAGGTGGATCTCACGACTCCTGCTGAGGGCAAACTGGGGTCACCTTGTCCTATCCCAAGCCCTCCCGCTCAACAGGGCCAGTTTGTGGCTGGGCTTCCCACAGGCTAAGCTCAGCTCTGCCATCTGTGCTTGGGCTCTATTGGGCTGGCGGCCTGTTGATGCCCGTGACCCTGCAGCATCTGCCCACCTGAAGTGGCGGATGCTGCCAGCTTCCAGCTCTTGGGCGGCCTCCGCTGACCCGTGATGACCTCTGGGAGGATGGGTGCCGGCTGGAGACCCAGGACAAGAGGCAGAATGGCAGGCTGGAAGTGCTGCAGGAACCAGGAGCTGCAGACCAGAGCCACAGCAGGCCCCAGAGGAGAGTGCCCTAGGGCAGAGCTCCACCACACACACTCCCATCGCTTCACTGGGCCCTGGCTCCTTGGCACTGTGGCACAGAATCAAAACGGCACGTGTTTCTCTCCTTAGGTGTGTACAGTGTATGCGTGTGAGGGTGCACCCACTTGGATGTGAGCATGTGAGAGCCGGCGACATGCTCATGCATCAGTCATAAGTCTCCAGCATCAACCCCCACCTTATTTTTTGAGGCAGGGTGTCTTGCTGAACTTGGAGTTCACCATTTTGGCAAGACCAGCTGGCCACGAGCCCTTGGGATCCTTTCGCTTTCCTTCTCATCCAATCCTGACCCTGCACTGGGGTTAGATACGCATGCCTCCGAGCCTGGTTTTCACATGGGCGCTAGATATCTTAATTCAGGTGCTCACCTTACCTGTTGAGCCTTCTTCTCAACCTCGCCACTCAGTCTTCCTAGTCCCTGATACATTATGACTCTTGTCCCTCCCAAAACCAGCGCGAGGACAGGCGCCAGTGCGGAGGCAAGACTTGGACTCTTTAGAGTCAGGGCACCTCACACTTTCCTACTTTACCTTTCAGAGGAGCAGGAGAAGGGGGCCGAGGACCTAAAGTCACCCGAAGCAGATCCTGTTAACTCTCATGGGCCCGGATGACAGTCCCCAGGTCGCTGCTGACCTGAGAGTGTACTTGAAGCAGTGGGTGATGCAGGGGACCCTCAGCACCCCCAGCACCCCGATCCAAGGCTAACAGGAGGATGAAGAAGGAGAAACTGGCTCAGCAGCTGCCCTGGGAACCATGGGAAGTGGCTGGGGGCCAGCATGGGCACTGGGAAGGGAGGAGGAATTTCCCATGTCTTAAGGGAAGGGGCTTTGGGAGGCAACATGTAGCCGCTGGTGGAGAAAGCCACCTTCTTATGTCATCAGACACTACCCGTAGGCTGGTCTCAGAGGTAGTTAATATCCCACCTACTCTCATTCTCCCTGCGCTTCTCAGGGGCTTTCCTGAGCTGGTTTTCCAGAGGACTGTCTGCAAATCAAGCCACAATAGAGAAGCCTGCTTCTTTATCCCACAGAACATACTGTTCCAGAATAGCAATGAAGACACGGTCATTACGGAGTCCCTCTGAAGATGCAGGCTGGCGGGAGAGGGCGTCATGTGCCTGGGATGATGATCTATGCGTGGGGTGGGAGGGTTCTTTCAGTCTACTCCTACCTGCTTGCTGACCTGCTAACATTGCGGGTGGACCCTGAAGAGCCACAAAACCAGACCAGCTGGTGGTGAGAGGCATGCCAGAGCCTTGGGAAGGGATGGACCACTTGAACTTGCATGATTAGAGGTTAAAGGACGTTGGTCCCACCTCTGAGAGCCACAGAGGCTGCTTGCTAGGGTCTATAGTTCTCCTTAGTTGGGAGGGAAAGATGCCCTGAGCGTCTGCCAGAGGCTCAAGGATAGGAAAGATGCTAACACCTTTGCTATTGTTTTCTCTAGCTTCTTGCGGGAGGGGAACATACAGACAGATACAAGCCCTAGCACTGCTTTTAGGAGGCTGTGTTCTTTCTTGGACCATAGACTTGGGAACCGCACGTGAAGCTGAAAAGCAACTTCCAAGATGCTGCCCGGTCATCAGCCCTCTGAACTGGGTAGAAGAAGGCAGGCAAGGCGCAGGTTCTGGGGCTCAGGTACGACAGTGCCTACAACTCAGAGGCTTCAGGGGGCAGGGGGGCACCAGTCTTCCTCTTCCTACTCTGAAGGCTGGGCCAGGCTGGAGGGCTGGCAGGCACCGGGACAATTAGCTCCCTGAGCTCTAAGTGCGGCATCTGGGAGACGAAGGCAGGGATTAATGCCCGTCTGCTTTCCTGAGGGGCTCCTTCTGTTCTGTCAGTTACTGGGACTCAGGGAGGGTGGCGTCCATCCCGGGGAAGGCTTACAGAGGACACTGAGGGAACAATTTAACACGGCGATAACAAAGCTTCCGAGTAATTCACCCGGCAAATGGCAGCGGCCAGTACTCCCTGTGCTCAGTACCTACTGTGCTGCAGGGTGGGGGTATACCGGCAGAATCTGCACACTGTGGTGGCCTCCCCTGGTGGGGACCTTCCTCATTCTCCTCCTGTTCCCTACACCTGAGGAGGAAGTGATTTGGAGGTGCCTTAGTCACGGCACACTAAGATGCTAAGAGGCTAACAAAGCTTTGGCAGGACCTCCCTTGCCTTGGCGCCTGGCTGCCTGATGGGTTCCTGTGCCCACTCCCACAGCTGCAGAGGTGGCCCCGGACACCGGATGATTTAACTTGCTATCAAATACCTGCCGGACTTTCATCGGGAGGATCAAGGATGAAATTCTACCAGCACACAAAATCCTAACCAGGGCTGCATGCTTCAGGGGGGAAACAGACCATGGAGTGACAGCTACAGAAACACCGACAAGACACATCTCCGGAACCCTTGCCTGCAGGGTCCTTCAGGAACCTACTTGGCCAGAAAGATGAAACCCATTCAGTAGTCCTTGAGATTAGTAAGTCCAGACCCCAGCAATATAGCTGACAGGGTCCATGGAGCCCTTAGCTGGGCCAGGGATGACTCAAGTCACGAGGCTACTGGCAGAAAGACCCCACTCTCTCCTTGCCGCTTCCTAACAGTAAAGCTGCCATGGCCAGGACTGAGTGGCATTCAGCACACCTGATCATACCCAGGGCCGAGAGGAACCAGGCGGGGGCAGAAAGGACTAAGGGACGCTGCACAAGCAGGAGGGAAACACTCCTGAGCCCGTCTCTGAGGCAGGCAGAGACAAATGGCCTCTGGAACCTTGCCGTCCTATTATCTGAAGCCTGTCTGGAGTATTACTCAGCTCCACCCCCACCACGCCACAGCACAAAGCAATCAAGAGTGAGGCAGGCAATTCATCCTCTTCCCTCATCCATGGGAAGACAGGAAGAAGGCTGAGCTGAGCCCAACCTGTCTGGAGAGGCTGTCTGGTAAGATGGACCAGTCTTGTCTATTCTGTTCACGAGACCCAGAACCTGCTTGTGTGCACCTCGCTGGCTTGGAGTGAGGCCAACACCCAGAAAGTCTCTGGAACACAAGACCTTGCAGGTACCCCTCAAACTGTGCTAGTCCAGAGCAATCTGCTGGCCTGGACCTAGAGGCCCATTCCAAGCCAAATCTGACCCTGAGGCTAAGACCTCACTCTGGAGCCGGAGTGTGGCAGTGTGCACACTCTGTGGGAAGCCCTTCTCTGTAGGAAGGGCTGAGACAGAAAAGGAAGATGGTTCAAACACTTCTGCCACTCACACTGGCCTGGTGTGCCCCAGGTTGGGAGAGGACACTCACCAGATAGATCCGGTAGGCATCCACCCGGCGCAGGGGCCCCCAGCACAGATCAGTGTCGTTGTATTTGGTATCTGTGTCCACGCCACAGGAGTCGTTTCCAGACACACTGCTAAAGAGAGCAATCGACAAACCTGGGCTCAGCACAAGCCCCTGCTTGGCTAGGAAGAGGGCGCGGGCCTGCACTTTTCATAAGCCACCCCTGAGGACAAGCCACACGTGTTCGTTCATGCAGTACCATGACTTTGAGGCCCAGGAATCCAAGTTACCTACTTGATGGACAGCACGATATAGAACATGCCTTGTGAGGACAGAGGACACAGCTGGCCCCTGATGTGTGGAGAAGGGACTATGGGTTTGTTTAGGGTTTTGACGGAAGACCCTCTGCCCTCCTGCCCTGCTGGTGGAGGAGGCCTATGGGTCTGCAACAGTGTGGAAAATGAGGGGCTACTCACCAGGTCACCTGCATGAGGGACAAGGGCACAGCTGCAGCGTAGATGGCAAGGTCTCCGTACAGGTAAATAATGATGCAGAAATAGAACAAGTTGACCCCCACTGAAAGAAACAAAGCCACAGGTCAGGGAGCCAGAGACAGACACGTTCGCGTTCTTTTCTGACGGCTGAGTCTGCTGCTTCCGCTGGCCTCAGTTCTTCAGGCCATTTGCCTTCTACAGAAGGTAGAAAAAAATGACCCCGAATTTTTGTTTCTTATTCTAGCTGGCTACACTGTGAGGCTGGCAGGAGATGCATCAGTTTGGGACTGGTGCCTGAGAGAGCTCGGCGAGGCCTGGAGATCAGAGAGAGAGAAATCGAATCTACACCGGCAGGTGAAAGAGCCAGCTCGGGGGGCACTTGCCACCGCACCTGAGGGTCTGAGTTTGATCCTGGAGGGCACATGGTGGAAGGGAAGAGCCAATCTCAGCAGACTGTCCTGTGCCCTACACACAGCCCCCCCCCAAACAAAATACATAAAAATGTAAAAAGGGAAATGGATTTGGGTCCAAAGATCCAGGTTGACGCCCTGGAGAAGCTCAGATACTGGCACCTAAGGCTCATGACCCAGACACCCGGCTCCACCCTTGCATTTAGACTAAGTGTTCAAGTTCCCGATGTCACCCGTCTTAAGCGGCTGGCTTCTCTGAGGACAGGAAGAAAAATGAAGTGACAGTTCTCTTCTAATCCTGGTGGCTCAGGACAGTCCCCAGGTCCCCAGAGGAAAGCCTGAGACACGTCAGTCCTGGGCTATGTGAGGTCACTCTGCTCCTCAGAATCCTGACCAAAATGGCCAGGAAAACACACACACACACACACACACACACACACACACACACACACAGAACCCATAAGGGCAATAGGCACAGCACCCGTTTTAAACATGACAGGCGCCATACCCTTACCTGACAAGTTAGAATTGCCCCGGACATGGCTTGAGACCCCTGGGGCTGTCTGTCATTCATGACCCCAGACTCTAGGTACATCCCACTCAGTCTGCCTTTCCTCTCCAATGCCCGTGGTCCCTGTGAGAAGCCATCACCTCCTCCCAGGCCCTCTCGGGCACCTGCCGAAAGCTACAGTATCGGCTGTTTATGAACTGCCATCAGCCCTCCTTGATCAATAAAATTTCATTACCAGACACAAAGTCAGAGGATCAATGAACTTCCTGAGAGGACATTAATGTCTGGGCCTGGCATTTCTAATTACAAAAAATGAGCGTGGAACCCTGGGGAACCTTTGGTGGAGGGTGCAGCTCCGCCAAAGGTGATGAGAACAACCTGGTCTGCAGCCCACCCCTCACAGAGGACATGTGTCAGTGTCTGAGGAGCTTTGACGGTCACATCCAGGAGGCCAGAAACGCTGCCTCAGCATCTTACAATGCTCAGAACAGGTACCGCCACAAAGGGTGACCAGCCCCACGTCTCCGGTGCCAAGCCTGAGAAGTCCTGCGGGAGGAACTGGGGAGGCTCTTCAACAGCTGGGGCTGCTCCCACACACATGTGCTACTTCATACGAGATGTGGGCAGACAAGACGAAACAAACCACCAGTGTGTAGAAACCTTAAAGAAGTCAGGGCAGGAGCATGGGGCTCTGAGTTCAGATCTCCAGCACCCCAGAAAAAAGCCAGACATGTTCCTATCACCCTAGCGCTGGGGATATGGAGGCAGCAGAGTTGCTAAGCCTGCTGGCCCGTCAGCCTAGATGAACAGGTGACCTCCAGGCTCACAGGTTCAGTGTGAGACCCTGTCTAGAATCTAAGGAGGAAAGAGAGGGAGGGAGACACCTGATGTCAGCCTCTGGCCCCTCCACACATGCACACATGTGCACGCACACTCAGATACACATGCACACACACAAATAAAAAGAGCAGTCGGGGCAGGCACGGGACATACTGACGAGCAGTGTGCACAGGACATACTGACGAGCAATGTGCTTGCCCACTAAGTACACTCGCTTTTCAAGCTTGCGTCTGGAGGAGATCTCCGAGTGGCTGCCTGGCAGGGGGACGGGACACTCACTTAGTGGATGGTGAGGGACAGAAACAAAACAAAGGAAAGGCACAGAAGTGGGCTTGAACCAGCCCAGCCGGCTTTGATGAACCGTGGCAATCCCCTAACAGGCTGGCCCAGTCAGTCCACGCCCATCCTGGACCAGTCACCAATCTGCACTTTTGAGGACAAACTGAGTGCTGAGTCCCGAGTCACGAAGATTCCTATTTCTGCAATCCTCCTTTCTCTCCACAGCCAGACGCAAGACCACTGGCAAAGATGCCCCACAAAGAGGCTTTGACAAAGGGGCAGAAGTATCTTCTAAAATAGCTTAGAGGCTGCTCCATGCCCTAGGAAGGAGGCCCAGGTTAGGTGCCCATTAGAAAAAAAAAAAAAAAAAAGATTTACCACAGAGGCAGAAAAGGATTGGCAGATGCAGATTCTGCAGTCAGGTGGATACCTGCGGGTTGCAGCAAATGCCAGCCAGGAACAGGCAGAGCCGGAAGGAGCATGCTGCCTCACTGGGTAAAATTGGTGTGGGCTCCTAGTGCCCTCTGCTGGCTGACAGGGGACAGGGCTGTGTAGCAAATCCTATGGCTTCTTTTCTGGAAAGTGACCTAAGACCTGTACTAGTAGGCTTGTCAGCCCTTACTCTTCAGGCCAGGGGACAGCGAGGACCCCAGGAAGACAACGGAAAGCGGGTCAGGCCTCGCAGGACAGCTCCTCCTGTGTTCTGCCACCCATGTGCCCTACCCTTCAACACAGAAGCCCCACGACCAAGGTCAGGACAGCAAAGGTCGAATGTGGCCCTGTCCCACGCACCATCCCCGAGTGACGGTTACCTTTATTGAAGAACATGGAAGCCATCTGCCCCATTTCCACCCGGTCTGTGATTTCAAAAAGGCTGGCTGATGAGCGTCTCTCTGTGGGGCCAGAACAGACAGGGACGTGGTTGTTCACCAGAAGAGCCCTGAGGGGAGCTTCTTGAACTCTGGGAATTCTTTAGAACAAGTAAGTCTCCAAGCTTCTCCAACTCTTCGAACTTTTTCTCCCTCACTGCTGGGTCCCCAGCATTCCTCTGCTGACCTGTATTTCCCACGCTGTTTTAATCTTCTAATATTTTTTGCTTCAAGAGTTTGAAGTCTTTTTATTTATTTAATTATTTCTGTGTGTGGTGCTGGGGATGAAGCTCAGAGCTCAGGGCACAATGGGGAAGTTTCTACCAACTCACTGCCCCTAGCTCTGAGCTTGGGTGTGTTGGGTGTGTGTGAGAGAAAGACAAATCCAGAGAGGCATGTGAATGCAGGCAGACCATATTCCAGCAACAGTAGAAGGGTGGGAAACTGAGGCACACAGCTCAGGTAATTGCCAAATTACACACAGGAGGCAGAGCCAGCAGAGGCCAGGCCCATGTCCAGCATCCCTGGGCCCATGTTCTGTGTACTGAACCCCACAGCCCTTCTAAACTGACACCTGAGAGGATGCGGGCAGGGAAACTCCCCAGTAGCCTCTCTACAGAGACCAGGGGGAGATGTGGAGTTTGCCCGGCGGCCCAAGACTTACGCACAGACAGGATGGGCCGTTTCTCTGCCCGCTCATAGTTGTCTTGAGTGAGGATGTCACTGTCTGAGGCCGTGGAGGAGTCTTCTTCTTCTTCTTCCTGGGAGACAGGAGAATGGAGAGGAGGGAGGAAGAGACAAGGATAGAGGTGAGCGCACAGCACTAGAAACCCCAGTCCACAGTGGCCCTTCCTCGCTCATTCTCTTCAGAAGATGGAGACAGCAGAGCCTCCTGGGACAAGGTTCACAATGACAGTGAACCCCAGGTGACTGCTGAGACAGAAGCTACTGTGTGTGCCCCTTGGGTTTTATCTACTTAGCTGTGGCCCTGGAGAGAAGCCTGCCGAGACTGCCTTAGAGACACCACCGAGGACGAGGGCAATGCACACACCTTGTGGATCTCCATCCTCTTCCAGCGGAGCTGGGCGTTGGCTGCAGCCATGGCCTCCATCACAAAGGTGGTTGTCACAAAGCTGAGGAGGAAGCCACATGTTAGTGACACAGAGAAGGTCGCAGGAAATACAATCTGGCCCAAGCAACAAATCTGCAGCACACTCTCCTCTGAGAGCTGTTCCCTACAGAAATCCTGGGATGGTACTCCCTGGCCACAGGGCATGGCTTTGGGCCAGTGAGGTGGCTCAGTGAGCAAGGGTGTTTGCTGCCTGGTCTGAGTGGATCACAGGGGCCCACCTGATGGAAGGAGAAAACCCTTTCCTACAGGAACATGCGCGCTCACACACTCTAAATAAACAGAAAAGAGAAACTAAAGTGTCATTGTGCACACCAAGTGATTTGTTTTTACTTAAGTCATCACCAACATCAGAACCGATCTCCAACGCACGCACGGGAGGAAAGCACGAAGGGAACCGGTGGGAGGTGTGCCGGCTAGTTTTAGGTCGACTTGACACCAGCTACGGTTGACTGAAGGGAGGAAACCTCAATGAGAAAATGCCTCCAGAAGATCTGGCACAGTGCATTTTCTTTTTTAAATTATTTTTTATTTTATGTGCATTGGTGTTTTGCCTACATGTATGTTTATGTGAGGGTGCCAGATTCCCCTGCAACTGGAGTTACAGACAGTTGTGAGCTGCCATGTGTGTGCTAGGAATTGCAACTGGGTCCTCTGGAGGAGCAGCCAGTGCTCTTAACCTCTGAGCCATCTCTCCAGCCCTCTGTAGGGCATTTAGTTAGTGACTGATGAAGAGGATCCAGCCCACTGAGGGCTGGTTCTGTAAGAAAGCAAGCCATAGGGAATAAGCCAGTAAGCAGCTCCCCTCCAAGGCCTCGGTTTCAGCTCCTGCTTCCAGGTTCCTGCCCTGCTTGAGTTTCTGCCCTAACGTCCTTCAGTGATGGCCTGTGATGTGGAAGTGTAAGCCAAATGAACCCTTTGGTTCCCAACTTGCTTTGATTATAGTGTTTCATCACAGCAATAGTAACCCCAACTAAGACTGCCAGGGTGGGGGTGGCGTGGGCAAAGCAGCACTACTCCCAGAAAGGGCCTGTTGGGGTGAACACTAGTGGTCTTCTGGGGTGGCAGGCTGACTCACAAGGGGGCCTCTTAGGCCTTCTGGAAGGACGGCAGGCAACCTTCCCTGCTTGCCAGAACACAGAGCGTGGGCCAGCTTCCTATGGATGGCTGAGGCTGCATCTGACTCTGGAATCAAACCCCTTTCCTCTGACAGCACTTTCATTGCCTAAATAATATGACTCATCTTTAAATAAGCCTGTATTCCTGTTTCTCTAAATGGAGACTGGGAAATGGCACCAGACACAGCCCACAGCCTAGCGGGCAGTGAGAGGGTACTGTGCTCCCATTCGTAGGCGATCCAGGGTGCAGCCTGCAGCTGCAGCAACCCTGGGCACAAATCTACTTGGGACACCTGTTTCCCCGTGTCTGAGGCCGGCACAGCCGTGTCCCCACCCCTCCAACACTGACATCAGCGAACAGCAAATGCTCAGCCATGCAGTCAGGTGGGAAAGGACCCGCTGAGCTGCTCAGAGCTCAGCCTGCACCATCCCTCCAGCAAAGGATAAGGGATGTGAGGTGGGGCGGCCAAACCTGAAGAAGACCCCCAGAAAGGGCTCTCATTATCTTGCCTAACTGAATCTTCTGCGGACTCCGCATTTCCATATCTTATTGGAAGCAAACTGAAATCAATCTTAATTAAGGCATAAGAAAGCTTCTTATGGTTGCACAAAGCCAACTCATTGATCACACTCAAATGTAAATGGGCTTAGCGGGGAGGGGGGGCATGGCAGCCCCTATTGGAGGCCTCTAAGAACCACTTCCCTATCAATGGCTGCCTGTTCTGAAGGACCTTTAGAGGGGACACAGTGACTAAGGACAAGGATCCTGAGAGCTCTTGGTCACCAGAGCACAAAGTACGCAATTAGCCAACAGTACTCTGAGGTTCACCCCAAGGTTCCCCAAAATAAGAGCACAAAGAAACCCCAAACCTTGGGTGTGACCCCTCCCAGAAGCCTCTGTTTCATTCTTTCTAGGGTGCCCTTCCCCTCAAACCTCTGATGTGGTGCATCCCTCCCCACACCCTTGGCTACTCGAATCCAGTCTCCCCACCTCCCTAGCCCCCTCTGGCTATGCTTTATCCTTTTCTCTTATCAACTTGCTCTACAATTTATGGGTGACTTTCCCTACTCCGTCCCCACCCCCAATGTGGTCAAGTCTACACGGGCTGAGATCTTGGCTTTACTGAACATTAAGTACCAAACTGAGGATGATGTAGGAGAAGAGCTGTCTCTCAGGGGAGGTGCTCTTTAGAGATGTCTACAGGTTTCCCTCCCATTTTCTGGGGGGGGGCAGTATTTGCTCTGTAGTTGAGGATGACCTACTGATTGTCCTGCAGCTGTGCCTTCCCCCAAGTGCTGGGATTACAGGTGTGCACACCCCGCCTGGCTTCCTTCTGTTTTGAAGATTTATTTCAATCTTTATTTTTATTTATTTATTTGTTTATTTATTTATTTATCGCCTGCATGTATGCATGCACACTGCATTGCCCGTGGAAGTGAGGGCATCGGATCCCCTCAGCTGGAACTGCAGATGGTTGTCAGCCGCTTTGCAGATGCTGGGAACCAAACCCAGGTCCTTAGCCAGAGCAACAGTGCTCTAAACTGTTGGTGGAGCCATCTCTCCAGCCCCCAGTCCCAGGTCTTTAGGATGGATTCCCACCTGGAGGACGGGGTGGACTAGCCCCTGAAGTCCCACTGTGATGGGATGGACTTCTGAGTGAAACTGGAATCCCTAAGAGGAGGCTCTGTCTGCTCGGAGGCACCAGCTGCTGACCCCTCTAACATCTGGTTGACAAAGCAAGTGTTCCTGAAACTGCCCCATATGTGTGTATGTGTGTGTACAAATATGTGTATGTGTGTGCCTGGGTGCTTTTCATTTACCTGGTGAATTATTTTAAGCAAATCCTGAACTGATTCCCCAGGCAGCCTTCAGGTCTGCTAAACTCCTCTTCAGTGGTTAGCTGCTGTTTTCTCAGAGAGCAAGGACTGATGGTCAATAAGCTCAGAACAGGGAAGCTGAGTCTGCCAGGCCTGGCTGGTCAGCACCTCTGAGACAGACCAAGGCCTCACTGCTGTCCTGGCTCGAGGCCCGGGTGACCTTTGGATCCATTTTCCTTACTCTGGGTCAACTAGCTTAGGACCTGCTTCCTACATATACGGGAAACAGCAATCTTCCTACCCTCAAGAGCTCTCTGGTTAATCAGGAGACATTCGGGCTCCCTGGGTGTACCTACTCCAGTTCTGTCCCCAGCCCAAGGACGTGGCAGTCCACCCTCCACCCCCACAGCTCTTACCTCATGAAGCCCAGGAACACCAGCAGGATGAGGCTGACGAGCCACCCGGCGGTGGCAAAGGCCTTGGGCATGGTGAGCGCGCCTGTGCCCACAATAAGGTTAAACATGTACACCAGCCCGACCTGGAACCAACAGGAGCAAAGTTCAGTCGGGGGATTAACTGGCCTAAAGACAGCTTTGGGGGACGTTACAACTGTGGAGGCCTTCCAAGGTTCACCGAGGAGACGGGAGGGACGGCGCCTGAGTCCTGAGGAGCCAGACTCTGTAGCCAGGTGTTGGGAAGCGAAGCACTGGCAGGGACACCCAGAGAATGACAGCCCTGAGACCTCCATTCCTGTCAACTTAGGTCTGTTTCCGACTATCCAAAGCAATATCATAGCCATTTGCATTCTGTTCAACCTGGCTGAGGCTTCCTGAAGATAGACACCACAGGTAGGACCCTGGCACAGGGCTGAACAAGACCACTGATCTCCAGAAAACCTCCCAGAGAGGGCCAATCCCCAGACTCCCTCCTCCTCTGCCCCAGGCTTTGCCACCGCCCACTAGGCAGCAACATCCCACACCACTGGACTACATCCTTCTCCTTACACCACCTTCAGGATTGCGCTGTTGTTTTGTTTGGGACGAAGTCTTGTTATATAGTCCTGTCTGGCCGAGTGCTATGTAGCCCAGATCAGCCTTAAACTCATACAATCTTTCTGTCTCAGCCTTTCGAGCCTTGGGATCATAGCTATGTATCACCACAGTTGACTACCAAGTTCAGGATTTAAAACAACAGGGAAACCTTGAATCCCTATTCAAGGACAGAGATGGCTCAGAGGGCAAAGGTGCCTGCTGCCAAGCCTGCTGACCTGAGTTCAATCCCCAGGACCCACACAGTAGGTGAGAACCGACTCCCGCACGTTGCCCCCTAGCTGCCTCCCATGTGAGTGCGTGTACATGCACACACATACACACTACCTCAGTAAATAAAAATGTGCAATACTGGCACATGACTCATGTGCTACAAAATTTAGCTCAAAAGACATCACCAGCCCCTGCTTGGGTTATCTGGGGTGTGCAGTGCACCTCTGGCCTTCTGAACTGTAAAACAATTTTTACAAGTGATTGTGCCTACAGCAAACACATTTTTACCTTGGCTGGGGTCAGTTTCATCACTGGCACTTTGAAGCCAGTGTGTATCCAGCTAAAAGAAATTAGCTAGCTCGGTCTGCTCATCCCATTCAACCATTACTGAGCCTCCAGAGGGCCTGATCCAGTACTTGGAGATGGGGATTCAATGGCCCTAGACGGACACGCCCCTTCACCTGGCAATGCTATCTGTGGAGACCCAGGGAGAGACAATGAGGATGAGGGGACGAGGATGGTGACAGCGACTCCGTGAGAGAAACAAAATGAAGAGAGGAACCGTGGCTGTTCCGAGGTGTGATGTAAAGCCCTTTAAATAAGTGGTACTCAGCTGGCTCTGGGGACCCCGCTCCTGTAATCCCAGCATTGGGAGCCTAAGGGAGGAGGACATGGGTCTGGCCAGCCTAGGTTTCACAGTGAGCTACCAGAAAAAAAAAAAAGACAGAAAAAAGAAAACCACGAGCTGATAAGATGGCTCAGCAGGTCCGAGCGTGTATGAGAAAGGTGGAGTTTGATCCCCTGGACAGACTGGGGTAACGGTGGAGAGAACCGACCCCCCAGAGCTGTCTTCCGACCTCCACACATGCGCTGTCATGTGCACATCCCCCGCGTGTGCCTCCCTCCTTCACAAGGAAATGAAACAGACTACAAAAGGAACAAACAGGTCAAGGGAAGGGACTTCCAAGCACAAAAGTCGACAGCAGGAGAGGTGGAGGGGCTGAAGGGCCTCGATGTGAGGGTCAAAGGGACACTGAGACAGATGTGAGGTAAGGACTTTTGAGTATTACTGCCATGGACAGACAGACAATAGCACGGTGAGGGCTCTGAAGAGAAGAATCGGGGCGCCTGTGGCACAAGTGGGGGTGTCTTACAGCTTTTACGATGGGGATAACTTCCCAGTGTAGCCTGCAACCAGGCTCTCTGACTTGCCACGCTGGGAACAGAAAAAGGGGTAGGGAGGTGTGGCCACTCATACTTACATTTTGATGTAACTCATGCCCTTAGGTTGAGACCCTGGTACTTAGAAGTCTGTTAGCTAGGGGTTCACAATGCCCAGATCTGTGCGAGAGGGAGGCCACTGCAGGAATTGCAGCAGCTGGAACCTGACATCGCAGTCTTACAGGGGTTTGTGTGAATGGGAAGGCCGCTGCAGGGACTGCGGTCTAAGCAGCAGAATCTAACAGGTGTCTGTTGGGCTTTCTGAAAGCCATACAGTGGCTGAGGTAAGCGAACCAAGCCATGGAGGAGACAGGAAGTGTCCTTCCTTATGGAAGTGACGGAGGTGCCACGGTTTGGGGGGTTTTAAGCAGGTGTGATGGGGCAAGACAAGACAGTGCAGCCGTGGATTCTTGCTGAGGTGGTTTATCTAGAATCTTATCTCCTCGATGGAGAAGCCTGTGGAAAACCACCCAACTCTGTTCTAGGAACCAAAGGTCAGGATGTCCTAACTAACTTATCTTAGCCTTTGTTAAAACTGCCTGTTTGTGCAGAACCTCCTCCAGATAATGGCTTATCTTACAGTCTGTTAAAACCGCTTATGCCATGAATACCCCCCTATCATCCCCCACCCCTGCTGAGTGACATGTGTCGTTGAGGTCCTGCCCTTAAAAATCCCATGTTCTGGACATGGGGCCACACCTAAAATCCCCTACCACCCCCAGCTGGCTGGAATAAAAAGATTCAATTGGCTATACACCATGTCTGAGTGGTCATCTCTGGCGCCCCCTCCCCCCGTAACAGGAACAGATCCCAGCTGACCCCTAACATCACCCTTTGCTCTCCGCCTACCACTATTACAAGAAGCACTAAGCAGGGGTAAGGACTTCATGGAAACAGTCTGGGTGAGGCTTCTCATGGTGGAACTAAGAAGGCAAAGGGTTTTAAGAAAGTGACACTAGGCAAAAACTTTATAGGAGAATTAAGTAGTCTAAGATGCATTTGTAGAAGCTGGGCTTCTTTAATCCCAGAACGTACATCTCCGAGTTTGAGGCCAGCCTGGTCTACAGAGCAAGTTCCAGGACAGCCAAGGCTATACAGACATATCCTGTCTTGAAAAACAAAAAACAAAAAAGAAACATTTGTATGGTTGGAGAGATGGCTCAGTGTCTTAACCACTGGCTGTTCTTCCAGAGGACATGGGTTCGATTCCCAGCACTACATGGTGGCTCACAACCATCTATAAATTCCATTCTGGGGATCTAATACAGAAGCCTTTTCCGGCTTCTGTAGGAACCACAATCACATGATGAACATATATACATTCAGGAAAAATGCACAAAATTTTTAATTAAAAGAATAAACTAGGAAACAGACAGACGTTGTCTTGCTTTGTTGCAATTTTTAGGTCCAGAGTAAACACTGTGTCTGCTGGGAGCTCAGAGAGCCATGCAGGGCAAGACAGGACTTCTTTGCCATGGGTGGGCTTCAGAAGTCTAAAAACTGAAACTTTGAAATTTATGCGCTGGCAATGCTGAAGCATGCATGGGCAACCCATATATGGCAGTTCTGTTGAACTTGTCCATATTGGGTTTCATCGTCTAAGTTGATGAGGACGACTGACCAGGTCTCTTCCTCAGGAGGGCGCCAGACCCCATTACAGATGGCTGTGAGCCACCATGTGGTTGCTGGGAACTGAACTCAGGACCTTTGGAAGAGCAGGCAGTGCTCTTAACTGCTGAGCCATCTCTCTCAGAAGTCTGGTAACATATTAAATCCTCTTTACTTTTGGGAAAGGCACTCAGAAAATGCCAATCATAAGGAGCAGGCAAAAGGAAGCCATTCTCAACTCAGCCACAGACCAGGGCAAAAGGAGCTGTGGAAAGGAAAAAAGAGGTCACATGGCAGTGGGGAAAGCAACCTCATTGGAGGGGTGGCAGGGAGTGGAGGAATAAGACCCTGCTGGGTTCTCTTTGGATAAGTTTACATTATCCAAATTATCCAGGCTCACTGGACTCCCCTGTGGCTGAACAAGGGGAGGTGCAGCCCCAGCAGCCCCATACCCTCATACAGTGTCCTGTCTGCCTCGCTTCCATACAGAAGACAACGATGACACCCAGCACCATCTCCCAAAGAGCCCCTCTGGTGCCAACCAGAGGAATCAGAAGGCAGCCATGGTGTGTGTGTGTGTGTGTGTGTGTGTGTGTGTGTGTGAGCCTGACTGTAGGGCTGGGGAGACGGCACAGTCAGCAAAGTGCTTGCCATGCAAACACAGGGGCCTGTGCTCAATCCTGAGCACACACATGGAAACCTGGGTGGTGTGAGACAATTCTGTCAATTATGTTTTAAATAAATGCTGATTGGCCAGTAGCCAGGTAGGAAGTATAGGTGGGACAACCAGATAGGAAGTAGAGGCAGGTCAATGAGAATAGGAGAATTCTGGGAAGAAGGGATCCCATTCCTCCCAAGTCCTGTCCCAATCACAGAAGAAGGAAAATGTGATTGCCCTGCTGAAAAAAGTACTGAGCCATGTGGCTAACATAGATAAGAATGGGTTAATATAAGTTATAAGAGTTAAATAAGAAGCCTGAGCTAATGGACCAATCACTTTATGATTAATGTAGACCTCTGTGTGATTTCTTTGGGACTTAACGATTGTGGGAACCAGGCAGCACAGGAACCTAGCAGGACAGAAACCTCAGACAACACCTGGGGTTCAGCTGGGCACGGATGAAAAGGCAAGTGGATATCTATGAGTTTGAGACCAGCCTGGTCTAAATAGTGAGTTCCAGGCTAGCCACTACGCAGTAAGACTGTCTCAAAATAACAAATACTCAAACCTAGGATGGTAGCATGTACTTGTCCCAGTAGGGACACAGAAGGAGCCTTGGGCTAGCTGTCCAGCCAGCCTGGCTGAATAGGGAACTATAGGTTAAGAGCACTGACTACTCCTGCAGAGCACCAGAGTCTGGAGCCCAGCACCCATGTCAGGCATCTCACAAGCATCATTTCGGGGGATCTAACACCCTCTTCTTGTCTCCATGAGCGCCTGCACTCACTTTCACATACCCCCACACAGACACACACACAACAGGGTTTTAAATGGTAAGAATAAGGCCAGAGAGACAGGGCAGAAGGAGAGAGGGGGAGGGAGATGGCATCGGCAGTGGCAGGGGTAATGGTGGTGTGCAACTGGAGAGGTGGCTCGGTGGTCAAGACCACTAGGCTGCTCTTTCTAAAATCCAGGTTCAATTCCCAGCTCCCACGTGGGAGCTAACAACCATCTCTAAGTCTAGCTCTAGGGGATCTCATGTCCTTTTCTGGACTCTGAGGGCACCAGCCACATGGTGCACAGACATACATGCAAGCAAAATACCCCGAAACATAAAACTTAAAAACAATAACCAGGGCTGGAGACATGGCTCAGAGGTTAAGAGCGGTGGCTGCCTTTCCAGAGGTCCTGAGTTCAATTCCTAGCAACCACATGGTGGTTCACAATCATCTATAGTGGGATCTGGTGCCCTCTTCTGGCCTGCAGGCAAAACACTGTATACATTTAAAAAAAAAACCCAAAGAACCAATTCTCTCTCTCTCTCTCTCTCTCTCTCTCTCTCACACACACACACACACACACACACACACACACACACACACACACACACACACCACACTGTTATTCTAGGATGGTGGACAAAGAAGCCCTAAGGTAAAGTGGACGAGGTGGTGGAAGGGGGAAGGAGCATGAGCCAGAGGCTGGGTGACGTCAGCCCATGAATTTGCAGTGGTAGTCACGGCATGTACAAGACCTGAGCAAATCCCAGCACGGAGGGGGAAGGAGGGTGTGAAGTCAAGGAACCACTGGCAACTGAAAGCTGCTGAGACAGGAGCATGAGTAGCCCCTGGCAAGTGACCCGTGCTCCAATAGGAGGCCACAAGTCCCAGAATATACTGGTAGCACGAGCTGAACTTGATGGATTTTTGTTTTGGGTTTGTTTCAAAAAGGACACAAAGTTGAGTGGGTAGGGAAGTGGGGAGGATCTGGGAGGATCTTGGGGAGGAGGTCAATATGTTCAAAACATATTGTACAAAATTCTCAGAAAACTAATTTAAAAAAAATACTCTGAGGATCTGGAGAGATGGCTCGGTGATAAAGAGCACTTGCTCTCTCAGAGGACTCTGATTCAACTCACAGCACATGGTGGCATAAAACCAGACATAGAGCCAGGCAGTGGTGGTGCAAGCCTTTAATCCCAGCATTCGGGAGGCAGAGGCAGGCGGATCTCTGTGAGTTCGAGGCCAACCTGGTCTACAAGAGCTAGTTCCAGGACAGGCTCCAAAGCTACAGAGAAACCTTGTCTCGAAAAAAGCAAAAACAAAACAAAACAAACAAACAAAAAAACTAGACATAGCTCCAGTTCCGGGGCAGGGGGTTCCCTGATGTTCTCTTCCAGCCTTTGTGGGCACTGCATGCGTGTGATCTATATACACAGCCCAAACATTCACACACATTAAAAGATAAATCTTTAAAAGGAAAATGAAGACCCACAGGAAGGTGGCTGCTGTCCTCAGAACCCTGACCACCACCTCCTGGTTAAGCCGTCATCACCCATCTTTCCCCCACATCTCTCTTCACTATTAAGATAAAAAACAAGAAATAAAACAACAACAACAAACCCAGCACTTGTTTATGGCAACCGCAAAGACCCTGAATAAATTAAAACACATATAAAATGCAAGGGAGAAAAGGGGCTGGGGGAGCAGCGCTCCACAGACATGCAGGCTAACTCTCCAGGCTCCTGCGGACACACGGTAGCATGTGGATGACTACATTATAGGTGGAGGCACAAGAAATGGGGCCATAAACTGTTTTCCTCTTAAAACTCAGCCACAGAAATGACTCATTTCCTTGTCTCTCAGTTTGTAGTTATTGTAAGAAGCAGAAACCGTGGCAACTTTTCAGGATCGGGCAGACGTCTTACTGCTGACAGAGGAGACTTGCAACGATCACATGACCGCACAAACGGAGGCTCACTGTCCCTTCCATCCCAACATTCGAGAGAGACCTGCCCTGGTCAACTGCAGAGGGGAAGGGGGACACTTTGTGGTTGTATGTGAACAGCAGAGCAGTTGTTGAAGCTGGGAAAGTTCTAGAAGGAAGGCTCCGTGGAGAAGAGCCACTTTTCCTGGTGAGAGCTGGTAAGGCTGAGTCAATCCTGGTTATTCACACGATCACCCCCAGCTACGTACCCAGTGAAGGCCCCATGCCGTAATAACCGCAATCGACTGGCTATTACCCAGAGAAGATAAACTGAGTGTGCGGGGGAGCGAGGGGGCACAGACTCAAGACAGAGAGAAATCAATCCGTCTAATTGTCATAATTGCAGCCTCTACCAAACAGCAATTGGAAGTCTCCTCAGTTCATCTCTTTCGACATCCGAGACCATAAAAGTTATGCAATTTAAAATCCAGCTAAAGACAAAAGAGGCCGAAGACTCCTGAGGTGGACCAAACTCCAAGACAACAGCTGTCAGGGACTGCCCTTCTAAACGGCAGACTTGTGGGCAACCTGTAGAGGCCCCCGAGACAGACATCATGGGAGACTAATAAGTTAGTTGTGTTTGGCTTGACACTCTATGGGAGGCATCTAAAAAGGGAACTGGGACCGAAGAAACAGCTCAGCACTTAAGAACACCTGCTGCTCCTGCAGGGGACTTGAGTTCAGTTCCCAGCACCCACACCGGGCAGCTTATAACCACTGCATCTTCATGTCCACGGCATCGGTGCCCTCTTCTGGGTTTTGTAGGCATGCCCATAGCCACATACAGATGCGTCATTAGAAATAAAACTTTTAAAAATAACAAATAAATAAAAGGGGAAATAAGCCCGATATTTATAGTCTGAGCCGAGACAGTTGGACCCTGACTCCAGCCACGTGAAGTTTCAGTCTCATTTTCACCAGGGTCTACTTAAACCAGGGCAATCACCAGAACAGTGGGCTCCCCCCACCCTTTGTTTTGTTTTTGATACATGGTTTTTCTGTGTAGCTGTGGAGTCTGTCTTGGAACTTGCTCTGTAAACCAGGCTGGCCTCCAACTCACAGAGTTCTGCCTGCCTCTGCCTCCCAAGTGCTGGATTAAAGGTGTGTGCCCCCACCACCCAGACTGTGGATTTCTCTAGACACCAGGAGCATGACGGTGAGCAGAACACATTTACAGAGGAAAACTCACATAAGGAGAGTAGAGCTCCCCGGTCTCTGTGATTTCACCCGCCATCTCCAAAGAATGAGGAAGGGTTGGCAGAAGAGGCTGCTTCTGTGCAAGGCCAGCAGCTGCTGCGGCTCCTAAGACGAAAGAGTAGACTTTAGTTTTCTGATGGACAGAGATGGGAACGGGGGAGACTTGGGGTCTGCCTCTTTCACCTCCAGCCCTCTGATCTCGGACACTTTGGCCTCAATGTCTGTCATGGGACAGCCTTGGTGGGACGCAGCTCCCTGGACAGTGCCTTCTAACTTTACCGTTGCTATGCACGGCACTTTTCTATGCCTGGATGCTGTTCACACTCCAAGTGACTAAGAGGCCTCCGAAGATGCTTCATTCGCCGTCAAAACCCTCCTTTAACCTAAGGGTTCTTATATCCACTTCATTCCAGCATCTGTGAGCTCACTTCTACACAGGACAGCCTGCACAGCTGTCTGACTCTCGGCCTACAGCAGACAGCCAGGGTTTTCCTAGGTCGTCCCGCCATCCTAACTCCTTGCCCCAGAGCTTCTTTTAAATGGGGCTTCCTGCTCCTTCACCTGTCTTCCGCCCTACCTTAGGTTCCCCACCCTTAAACCTCCCTCCCTTCTCAAGATCCCGGCTCTGAGCCTCTCCCTCTCCTTCCCTCCTGGTGAGACTCCAAAATCCACACCTATCTCCACCGCATCCTACCCTCCCACTCGTCCCAGACCTGCAGCACAGCTAGCTCCGGGCCACAGTGGCCACCGCCTCCAGTTGTTCAGCTGCCACCCGGCGCCAGCTGTCCCGCACCAGGGCCCGCAGCGCGCATGCGCATGCTTCCCAGCCTACCTTCCAGGAGAGCGCGTCGAGAGGGGCACCCTGTTCTGATTGGACGCTTCGCGGGGGCGTGCCCGGGATTGGGCCCCGCGGCTGCCGTCTGCGTGGCGGAAGTGGAGGGTGGGAAGTGGAGGGTGCGCGCCCCCGCGCATGCGGAAAGCCTGGCTGTCTGGCCGAGGTGCTGACGCCTGTCGTTGGGACGCCTTCCTCGGCGGGGGATGGGTGTGAGCTTGGCAATTTGCCGGCTTCGGCGGTTAGAGGGTCAATGAACCACTGTCGTGGCACGCAAAGCGCGGAGGCTTGAGAACTTCGAGTGGGGTGTGGGGGACCAGAAAGGGGGGAGGGCCAGAGCTGGGTGGCGTGGACGCTGGAAGGAAGGCTGGAAACAGGCTTAAAGAGGGGTTGTCAAGTCGTTTGAGGGTGGACTCCCCTGACTGGGGCACGTCGCGTGTGAATCCTAGTTATTTGGCATTCGGGTTTGATAGATCCAAGTTCTTGGGAATAGAGACCGCAGCCAATGCTTGGCCCCCGAGATGAGAACCGAGAATTGTTGGCCGCTTCGGTTCTTTATCTGGCAAGAGTTTTGGAATCCTCTCTTCTTTCAAATATTCGTGGGGGGAAAGGCAGGACGCCCCCTTGTTAAAATAGCCCCACCCGTACAGGAAAAGCCTGAGTTTCCACCCTACGTGGAATAACACTTGGGGCTCTGAAGTCTTTAACTCTCTTACCTGTAGGCAGCTACAATGAGGCTGAATCAGAACACCGTGCTGCTGGGCAAGAAGGTGGTCCTGGTACCCTACACCTCCGAGCATGTGCCTAGGTAACCTAGCTGGGAGCAGTTGTTGCTGCGTGGGGGGGCAGTGGGAATCGGCCCAGTGAAAGGCCTTCTTCAGTCCTAATCTCGGAGCCGGTTTTGTCCTAGGGAATATTACTTGTGCAGGGCTGCACAACACTCGGGAGATAGAGGCAGGTGGATCTCTGTGAGATTGAGGCCAGCCTGGGCTACATAGTAAGTTTTCCAGGTCAGCCAGGACTTCACAGTGAGACTGTGTCTCCAAAGGGGATAAAATTACATCCAGGAAGGCTAATGCTGAAGTGGAGAACTCGCTTCCTGTTTCCCCTTTTCACCTCTCAGCTTCCCTTTTGGCTTTTTAATTAGAAATTGCATCATCTAAATGTGTGTAGCAAAGAACAAAGACATGTCCTCTTCCCTCGTCCATGTGCTTGCTCCAGATGTTGAATGTTGCATGATCTTGAAAGCTACTGTTTAAAAGGCCAGAAGTGAGTGGCAGGGACTCCTTGTGGGTGGGGTTCATCAGCGAATGCCTGGTAGATTGAGAAACTGACTGCGGAGACGATGCTCCCATCCTCTACCACTGGTTTTGCTTTTGGGAAGGTCCCCGGAGGTCTGCCCAACCGTCTTTGCTGAGGCTGGCTTGGCATATCCTTATCCTCAGGAATTGGAGGAATGTTTGGCTTCACACGGCCTGGTTGGGAAGCTGGGCACAGCTTTCCTGGGTGGAAAGGCTGCTCCTCTCTGCTGCTCGAGGGAAAGACCTGCCTTTTCTGACTGACCATAGCCTTCTCCTTGAGTCTTCTGTCAGTGCTGTGGGGCCTTCATCCCTGCCTTCCTCTTCATCTCAGAAAGCGTGAACCCATACTGTGTGTTGGGTTTCGTTTCTGTGTTCATACTCGTACTTTCAGAGCGATTTGGAATTGTGGTGCCGACAGGCCGGCACTGAATCCTCTCCGCAGACAGAACTTGCGCGCTCGTCCTCTCAGAGAGGGTCTCCTGTCACTCATGCTGGCCTCAAACTCCTGATCCTCCCTCCTCCTCCTCCTCCTCCTCCCAGGTGCTGGGCATCCAGGCCTGTCCCTCCGCACCCAGCGAAATCCATGCTGTTGATCCACCCATCTAAGACCAAGTCTCCCCCCCCACTCCCCGCATCCGCAGGTACCACGAGTGGATGAAGTCGGAGGAGCTGCGGCACCTGACAGCCTCGGAGCCGCTGACCCTAGAGCAGGAGTACGCGATGCAGGGCAGCTGGCGTGAAGACGAAGACAGTGAGGAGCCCCCCCCCCCAGTCTCCCAGGCAGCCTCCACTTTCCTGTCCTTTCTCACCTCTCAGCTACTGCCCCTCTCGGGGTGTCACTAAACTGTGGTAAAAAGTTTGGAGGTTGCTTATGCTCGAACCACTTGAAGTGGCGCCTGTGACTGGCTGTACTGTCCTCTTTCCTGAGCAGACACTGGGCTTGGAAGGATTTAGACTAATCAATTTGATTTCTAGCCGTTAATCTAGGCCCTGCCCTCATGCCCTTTGCCATAGCCTGGTGCAGACCTACTCTTTGGGTCCCTGTTCCTATGAGTACAAATGCCTCTTGGGGAAGGCTGTTTCCTGCTTCAGATCAAAGGCGGACCTGGGACTCTACAAGGCGCCGGCCCCTTTTCTCCTGCTCTTCTCTGGCTTCACCTCTTTCCTTTGAAGACTGCAGGCCCTAACTGTTGCATCCACCCTCAGAGTGCACCTTCATTGTGCTGGATGCAGCAAAGTGGCAGGCCCAGCCCCGCCCCCCGGAAGAGAGCTGCATGGTGGGAGACGTGAACCTCTTCCTCACAGACCTAGAAGACCCCACCTTGGGGGAGATCGAGGTCATGATTGCAGGTTTGTCCTACCGGGCCCAGCCAGAACTTCAGAGAGCTTAGTGGGTGCCCAGGGGTAGCTCAGTCAGCTGTAGTCAGCTAGCTCTTGACTGCGGCAGCTTACTCCCTTGTCCCCCACCCAGCATGACAACTAACCCTTGGGTTCATATTTTCTTCCATATCCCTTGGTATGACTTTAACCTGTGTGTACACACATGCGTCCCAGAGGACAGTCTTGGATTTTGTTTCTCAACGCCATCTTTTTAGGTTTTGTTTGTGTTGTGTGTGTGTGTGTTTGTGTGTTTGAGACAGGGTTTCTCTTCAGCCTGGAACTTGCCAAGTAGGTTGGACTGGTTAGCTGTCCCCAGTACTGGCTTCAAAATGCATGCCACCACACCTGGCTTTTTTACACGGAGTCTGGGAATCAAACTCTGGTCTTCCTTGCAAACACTTTACTATTGCGCTGCCTACCCCCGCCCCCAGCCTTCCCCCTTGAGTTTCTAGTCTTCAGACTCCATCTGTTCCATGCTTAGGAGGGGATCCTCCAAAAAGAAGCAGATGCTCTGCCGTGCTGTGGAGGAGCCCCTTCTGCTTCTCCCAAGAGCTCCCCGGCGAAGGGGACAGGGGGTTCAGACTGCTGGGAGCCTCATGCTTTCTTTCACCTGCCTATACCTTTCTTTCCCGTGGGTAGACCAGTGAGCTGGTGCCTGTCAGGGATATAGGAGCCTGGTCCCTGGTCCTAGCATGGTGTGCTTTCTCCTAGAGCCCAGCTGCAGAGGCCAGGGCCTTGGCACCGAGGCGTCTCTCCTGATGATGTCCTATGGTAAGACAGACAGCTGACCATGTGGTAGGCCTCAGCTGAGCCTTCTTCAGGCACGAGGGAGGAGGCAGACGGCAGGCACCTCTACTGCAGGTGGGGACAGGGAGACTAGTGGAGTGGAGGTTTTATTCTACTGTGTGCCCCCCCCCTCTCTGATAACTCTGGAGGCGTGACAAAGCTAGGTCTCACCAAGTTTGAGGCCAAAATTGGGCAAGAAAATGAGCCTAGCATCCGGATGTTCCAGAAGCTTCATTTTAAGCAGGTAAGCCCATCCTGGGGAGAGGCCTAGGGAGCTAGAGCTGTTGGCGCAGGGACACGGCTGTAACGCTAGGTCTGCTCTCCTGGCTCCTACAGGTGGCCGTGAGCAGTGTCTTCCAGGAGGTGACGCTCAGACTGGCAGTGAGCGAGGCAGAGCGGCTGTGGCTTCTGGAGCAGACGAGCCACATGGAGGAGAAGCCTTACAGAGCTGCGTTGGCAGAGCCCGAGACCTCCACCCCGTGTGAGCAGAACTGGAACTGTCCACTCCCAAGGCCAGACAGCTGCATGGGAGACAAATGCCCAGGGTCTCCAGTCTGCTCCAGGCCCTCCTGAGCCTGCCGTGGCCTCCTCTGGCTGGCAGTGGCCAAGAAGACTCCTTCCTACTCCCAACCATGAGCTGACTGTGGTTGCACTGAACAGATGGCTGGCATCCATCGAGGCTGGGGTGGAGGTGGGAGCTGGAGGCTGGAAAGCCAGCCTTTCCCTGGGGCCCTTGCTGAGTAAAACATGCATTTAGGCAGCTTCCCTCGGCCCTTCATTCATCGTCCTCATGGAGAAGGCTGTCCTCTGCAGGCCAGAGTGACCAAGTAGTGGACTTCATGGTGGAAAGATAGGCTGGCTCCTGCCTGGTGGCCTTGGTTCTGCTTTCAGCTTTTTGGAGTCAGACAGGTCTGAGGGAAGAATGACTTCCGCATGCAGCTCCTTCATCCCTGTCAGAGAAGCTCGGGGCCTGCTACAGGTGAGAGAACCTGAGGCTACCCACAGCCCCCTCCTGTAGCGTAGGACTCTTCCCCTTCCTGTCTTGTTCATTGCCCTATTTTGGGCAGTTGCATCCAATCTGGCCACTAGGGGGCAGCAGAGGCATAGATTCGGGACGGCCAGGGTACTGGCAAAGTTCTCTGGTGTGCTGGTGTGTTGCGCCCCCACCTCAATCCTTTTACTCCTAACCTCCCTGTAGCCTGCCATTATCTGAGGTAGTCATCAAGAAGGGCCAGGCGTATTTTCAAAACAGCGCTGACAGGTTAGAAGTGCATATGTGTGAGAGATGGCTCTGGTTAAAGTTATTGCCAAGACCTCCCAGCCCCTGGTCTTGGCGTCTTACCCCAGATTGCACAGGGGAAAACTGCAATCCAGAATGCCTGAATTTGAAGTTAAATTTGCTATTGGCTCCCTTTGGACTCTGCTCCAGACCTTGGCCAGTGCTGGTCCAGCTCAGAGCTAAAGGTCCCCCGCAGCTTCTCCACCCAGCAGGTGAGGTAGGGAGGGTGCTTCAAGCCCTGTTACACCAGTCAGGGGACCTCCACCTGGGGCCAAAGGGTAGAAGCGTGGGTGGACGAGGGAGGCCAGCCCAGCCGAGCAGGCGAGCAGGTACTGTGATAAGGGCTTTGGATGGTTTCTCTCAAGGCTGGTGGAATCCAGACGTTAATGCCAAGAGGACCAGAGAGTGAATGGCCTTCTCCCAACCCAGAGGGCTCCAGGCCTTCTCTCCTGGAGCTATTATTTTCTTTACTTGTTCCTTTCAGCCCAGCAACCTGGTTCTGAGTGGCCTTTCTGTAAACTAGGTGAGCGGGAAGTAGCTGGGGCCACAGTCCCCTTCATTTTTGAACACCTGACCTAGGGCATGGTCCAGTAGGGAGCCTGGGCATTCAGGGCCTCCTGGCAGAAAGGCGGTATATTCCCTTTGCAAAGTCCCTTCCATCCCACCTTGCCACACAACATGTGCTGCAGCTAAGTGGACTAGTTTTCTCCTGTGCTGGATATCTGCTTTCCCATCAGGCCACTGGGCAGATAAGGGGTGTCTGTGGCAGAAACAGGGAGGAAAGGCATCGTCAGGTCCTGAACCCCGCTCTGCAGTGAGGTTTCACTCGTAGCACTTCTGGACCGAGGAGCCTCAGGGCCTCTCAGCTTCCTCTGCCACAATCCCCATAGTCACCCCCATTGCCCCATGTACCAGGGTACACTGGCATGGGGCTAAGCACAGAGCTGCAGGGCCCTGTGGACTCTTGAGTAGCTGCAAAGCCACTCCAGGAGTGTCCCACCTCCCAGCCAGAGGCCAGCTCCCTGGGGCTCCGGTCTTTGTCCACTCTTAGACCTGAGGGTGTGAGGCGAAGCACCAAAGACGACTCGGAGGCTCAGGTGGTTTAAAGGAACCAGTGAATTTCTGAAGGCGTTTCCTTACAGTGGTGGCACCTGGCTCAGGACAGGCAGAGGCAGCCTGGGTTTCCCGTGCTGCCCAGGTCTTTCAGAGTGAGAGTAGAAACAAAAGTTTAAGGGTGAAGCCATTGCCATGCTCTGGGTACAAACAACCGGGAAAATCACAAGAATCATGAAAACAAGAACCCCTCTAAATTCTGCAATGCTACACTCTTTAAAAAAAAAAAATCAAATGGATCAAAGAAGCCCAAGCCATAGCTCTGAGGACCTCAGGCACCCTGTCCATTATAAGCAATGGCCACTACAGTCAGTCCCCAGTGAGCCCAGGACTTGTCATCACATGTAGTTGAGGGAGAACTTGTCTGGTCCAAAGATCCTTGCTTGGTGTGGGTCCCAGTGATGTCCTAGGCAGACCGGTGAGGGACACTTGGTAGGATGAAGCCCTCAGGGATAAGTACGGGGACGGGACAGAAACATTCTCCTTCCCTAAGGTGAGAGGGAAGGACAGAATTCCTAAAATCAGATTTGTCAGGAAGGGGTGGGGGGGGGGTGCTGATGCTGATTTGAATGTTGATTGGTGGGTGACTGGGGAGGAGGGGAGGCTAGGTCAGGTGGGTGGGTGGCTCCACCATCCAGCACTGGCCAGCGACTGGTCGGGTGCTCAGAGGTTGCTGAACAGTTCATTTTTCTTGCTCCAGTCCATCTGTGGGGCCCGCTTGCTACTGCGCTTCTGGTGGGCCCTCTCTTTAGCCACAGCCAGGGAGATGTTGAAGTCCAAGATGGGGTCAGAGGAGGAGGAGGTAGATGAGGGCTCTGTGGACGCCTGTCTCTTGGGGCTGTCTTGGGAATTTAGCTGTGAAGAGGAGGAGAGAGTCAGTGTCCATCCCCGAGGGCTCCTCAGTCCTTGGCCTCAGAGTGGTGGAGATCCCTTGGGGCCATGACCAAGGTAGCCAGGTCACTCACAAGAACAAACTGCACCTCCCCATGTGACCTCAAAGGCAGGCTGGTGTGCCAGGAACCAGAGCGGCCTGGAAATGGCATCCCGTAAGGAACTCAGTCACCAGCTCCCATGGGGCCTGCCTACCTCCTCACTGGTATCGCTGGAGGCAGATCTTGCCAGGGCTGGCCTGGGGTTCTCTGAAGCTGCCTCTGCCGGGCCTTCACGGCTGCTCTCCTGGCACAGAGAGGAAAAAGTATGGGTGGGGAGGAGATGGGGAAGGAAACTCCTGGTGAGAAGCTGGAGGCCTCATTAGAGCAGGGTCCTTGCTCAGGCTGGGCCATCCATCCAAATCCCAGATTTATATTACTACATTCCTAAAAGGATTGGGGCAGCCTGGTTCCATCCATCACCTGAGCAGGGGGCAGGGACTGCGGAATCTCTCATCCTCCCCAACACTTTTGAGTACTGACTCACTCTTTGAATCAGCAACCCAAGAGGGGCTTCTGGGAACACAGGACCACCAAGGTCCTCCTGTTCGGCATGAGGAACGCATATGGTCCCTTGACCTCTGGTAGTCTTCTCCGGGCCTTAACCCCAAAGTAGCCAACCAGGTCTTTAGGAATAAGATGACAGAACATTATAGAACCATCAGAAGGTGGGGATCATGTCTGATTCTTGCCCCCATTAGGTCTCTGTAGAGGAAGCCTTCAAACAGATCTTGCCAACTCCAGGCTCTGTGGTCTGATTCTGAGACAGCCCATGCCAGAGCAGAGGTTTTGGCGGGGTGTGAGCCTGGCACTCAGCCCCTTCCTGGGTCCTTCCATGGCCTCAGCTGGCTCCCAGCCTCACCCCCCTCCCTTCTGCCCGAGGAGGAGGGACTTTGTTCTTCCAGCTCAGACTGGAAGTAGCAGGACCAGCATCCAGACACTGAGGCTCTGTTCTTGGGGGGAAGAATGGCCTCTTCTGTATGGTGGGAGTTAGAGGCGGGGGCTACAGAGGGGCCCAGGCAAGCCTTTCCCAAGTGGCAGCCTCACCCCTGACAGGAGGTGGGGTACTCTGGCGGTCCTATGGCTTAGCACTCAGGAAGACACTGGAACTGGGCCCTGATGTGTCAGCTAGAGCCAGACTCCCAGCCATGCTACCATTTGCCCTGTCCCCACAGAGGAGCAGGTAGGGGACCCCTTACCTTTTGTATCTCTCCGTTGGTGAAGGGCTCAGGCAAGGGTCCTAGGTGAGGGAGACAGCAAAGGTTAGCCCAGAACCTCTAGGGGAGGAAGCAGAGGACGCAGAGCCATGCCTTGGCAGCTCACCAGACCCCATACTGCAGGGCAAAGGCTGCAACCCACTGTATGTACATTTGACATTTTGATGACCCAGTGCCCAGAAAAATTGTTTGACAATTTCAGAAAACAAGACCCCACTACAGTGTGGTACTATGGTATTTTCAATAAAACGTATTTTCATAATGTCTCATTTGGCAAACTGGGGGGACTTTTGCGGGGGGGGGGTGCAGGGGAGGGTCATGCTGGAGTGCTGCTTGATACTGACTGTCCTGTGATGTCCTATAACGAGTCCTTCATGCAGTGCTGGGCAAACACAGCCCTCCATCCACTAACAGTGCTCTCTACCACTGAGCTACCTTTCTGACCCAGGTCAAGATGCCAGGCTTGCTGGAGAGTTAAGATGGTATGGAGTTCAAGGGTAGCCAATCAGAAACAGGTCCCCTGTGGCCAGAGAGATGGCTCAGTGATGGCCTGGTGACCTGAGCCGGATCTCCAAGAACTAGATAGTCGGAGAGAGCTGACTCTCCCGGGCTGTCCTCTAGCCTCCACGTCCACACATCCCAGGTCTGACAGGTTTATGGCCACACCTCAGATTATACAGCCGGACCTGCTGCCTTGGAGGGAGAACAATGCCAAGTATCTGTCACCTGGAGGTGAGGGGACAAGAAGGTTCAAGGACAGTGCCCTGGGCAGGGTCAGGCAAGGACAGTGGGAGAGAAAGCCAGGCCTGAGGTGGCCTCCCGTATGGCCTGTGAAGGAGGAAGGCTGTTCCACCTCCATGAAGCAGTCAGGATGGGTGGGGTGTCCCTGTATATTAGTTATGATGCATGTGATCCTTTGCCCCTGACAGGACTGCCCACTGTGTCGCTCCTCTTGGAGATCTGAGTTATGTGGACCCTGGCCTTCTACTGTAGTCCTGATGCTCAGGGGGCCCCACCCACTGCAAAGTCCAGGGAGGTTTACTTTTCAGCACAGGATACCAGATCACCCTTCTGGAGCCATCTTCCCAGGGAGAAAATCCGGACTAAGGGGTGTGTGTGGGGGGGGGAGGGGGCGGTACTCAGCCCCTCCTGCCTGGTGTGGCGGCCTTACTCACTTTGGCTTGGCTTGAACAGGAGGCAATGCCAGGCTTGGCAGGATCAGAGTGGGGGAGGGGGAAGGAGAGAGCTGGAGCCCAGGGACTGAAGGGGACCCACTACTCTCCAGAGCCAGCAAGCCTGAGTTTCCAAGGCAACTTGACAGAAGGGGGGGAGGGGAGCACTGGGCCCCTGTCACTGGACTCTGATCTGCCCAGCAAAGGCTGGAGACTGTCCCCGGAGTTAACTCTTTCCTCTCAGAGGAATCGCCTGAGAACTCGCTGGACTAGGGAGAGGCTCAGGCCAGGCCTTGGTACTGAACCTCATCCCCTCCTTCATGACTGTTAAGGGCTGTAACCTGCCCCCTCAGACACTCATGGCCCATCCCTGCTTCTATTCTCCGCCAACCCATGCCGTTGGGTCTCCCTTACAATCCAAGAAGCCTTAGGCTCTTGGCCACATCCCTGGCTGGGGGGCACCCAAGCTGTGCACCTACCATCCAGGTGTGCCTGTGATGGGATCACTTTGCACTTCTTGAAGAACTCATCGGTTTCCTTGTCCACCACCAGCAGCTTGGCCTCGTCCCCTCCAGCCTTGATGGCAGACACCACGTCCCCATGCTGCTTGCCCTCCATGCAGACACCATTCACCTGTGAGGCAGGGCAGGGACGGGGATGACCCACACAGGTCTCAGTGCTGGGGAGGGCAGGCGGAGGAAGTCCCTCCTGGGAATGCTGATTCCCTCAAGTGCTCAGTCCTGAACCCAGCCAGCCAGTGCTTCTCTGACAGTCAGCTGGGAAGCAAGACAAATGGGAAGAGCCAAAGAAAATACCCAGAGACTACACAAACAGCTGGAGCGAGGGGAGGCCTGGGAGCCTGGGCCGGGCTCCTCTCCGACCTCCCTCTCTGGGCCTTGGTTTTCTCACGTGTAAAGTGAGAAGTCTTGGAAGAGCTGATCTGTGGCTCTAAGGTTCTCACACTGTGATTCTGGGACCAGCCCAAGCATTTAGTTCACGTTTCCTCTCTGCTGAGCACAGCCGAAGAACAGAGTGTCTCAAAGCTGAACTCAGGAGAGGCCGTTGGTCCAGCCTCACGCCTGGCTGGAGTGCCCAGGCATCAGGAAGGCCATGCAGGTGGCCTCTGGCATCTACCTGGATTTTGGCAGGTAAATCATGGGCGTAGGGTGTGTATTTGGTGAAGCAGAACCCGAGCGAGCGAGGGGAAAAGAAACCATTCAGCCTGCACTCCCACCTACCGCTTAAGGTCCTTCTTTCCCATTCCTCCGCTCTACCTGTGTAGCTGCCCGCCATCCAGCACCTCTGAGCTGGCCATAAGCCATGGGTTAATCAAACCATAGATGGCATAAGGCTGCCCCAAAGCACCAAAGATTAGGAAGGAAGAGAGCACTGTAAAGGGCATCACCTCCACGATGCGGTCCTGGGCCCGGAGTCCAGAGGCCTCTGCTGGAGAGTCTGGGTCCACTGCTCGGATGAACTGGCCTGGCTTAGACTTGTCACTGTGCAGATTGAAGCCATAGCCATTGGGGCCTTTCTTCATGGTACAGAGCCGAGGCCGGAGCTCACGCTGCGGGGATGTAGGAAGCACTCATGTCATTCCACAGTATCCCAACACCGCCTTCTCCAGCTCCCTGACTAGAAGGATTCGGGATAATCCAGTGGCGATTGGAGCCCTCAGAGCAGGGCAAAAGAATCTGGCCAGGGCTCAGATGTGAGTGAACACTTAGCACTGTGGCGAACTGAGCGGCTCTGGGGAAAGCCGCTGTCCCTGCCTGGGGCCAGTTTCCCTCTTTGCCATTACTCACAGGCTGTTTTGGAATTATCCTTCCCCACCAAGGGCTCATCAGGCCCTCGGAGGCCTGGCTGGATACTTGAGGCTCCTGTGCAGGCTCCTGGCCCCTGTATCTCTGTTCTCGGTTGTAGAAGGCAAGGACAGCTGTTTACTGAAAGCTGGCCA